TGTTATTAAGGAATTAATACACAATGACACATTGAATTAATAGCTATTCATGTATTACTTAATCTATTAATCATATAGACTCTTTATTAGTTGCTGATGCAGTAATCGTTAATTAATGGTTTAATTCTTCATTAGTTATACATTAACTCATGATTATCGGTGTATTAGTTAAGCATGAATTAATGCATATTAGTGCACCCATATTGTAAAGTGTTACCAATCGTTCAATACTGTTTATGCATTAGTAAGTCAAGCCAGTGACTAAAATATCAACTTCACATCGTTTCTTTTAGTAGGATGAAAATAATCGTATTTAAATTCTGAACAAATTATACGGAAAGCAATCAAAGAACAATCTTTCCACACAGTGCGTGGAACAAGGGCATTAGAAGCATACAGTTGAAATATAATACTACTGTTATTGTGTCACGAAATGTAGTTTTAAGAGTTTTTCAGGCGAGAAAGTAGTTTTTTAAAGCTCAAATCTGTGGTTTATTTATAGATTTATGATAATTTGACTGAGATCCATTCCAAGCGATCACCGGACACTCGCGCTCGTGTCCCCCGCCTAGAACAGCCTTTCCTCGGCTAGTCGTTCTGATGTTTGCCGTTGACTCGGATGTCTCTGTAGTGGTTAAACATGAGATATAGTTCGTCTTGTATAAACCTAACAGGTGATCTTTGGTCTCGTGAATCTATAATTCGTTCCCTGGCCAATAGTTTTGACAGAAGTCTACGTGAAGTTTCATATCTTTGAGCGCTGAATTTGTATATTTGACTGACTGAATTGTTTCTTGATGTTATTTAAGCTTTACTATATATCTTTTTGTACCTTTTACTTATACTTTTATAATGGCTATTATTGATAAAACTGAAATTCAACAAAAAGAGATAGTTTTGTCATTTTTTATTTTATTACAAGATCATCTGTAATGTTGATTATTGCAACATTTGTTCCAATGCGATATGCAATACATTACATTACATATTGCCTGGAATATGTTTAATATTTTTAAATTTAAACGAAAAGAGGCAGGGTTGTTTTATATTTAGTTTTGTTATAAATATAACGTTACATAGGCTACATGCAGTGAATATAATCAATAGGCTATGCATTGCCTGAACCACATTTGTGTGCTTTAGAATATTTAAAATGTATTGAAATGAAATCGAAAAGAAGCAGAGTGGTGTTTTATAACATATTTCGTTTTATCGTTGCCTAAAATGAACATACAGAGATAACCGGAGTCTCATAGCCAGAGGGAGCTGAGTGGCGCGTTCAAGAACGCGCTCTTCCATTAACAGAATTACTGGACTCGCGTCCTTGGGATCATTCTCCTGGGTCGGACTTTGCGTTGGCTTCTTGGAAACGCCTAATGCCCGCGCTTGTTTCTAGTGACAAACATGCAGAGAAGCAAGAACAAGATCTGCTGTCTGTCATCCATTGTTGTTTATTACTGTATGTCGCTTTCTTCGCGTGAAAATTATGTTGATCGCTTCTTTCCAGCATACCACGCCTATCAAGTAAGGGTACAGTTGGCAGTGGAAACGCAAGCCTGATCATGGTGTACCCGACCCGTACTGTACTGTACCGTACCGTACCGTACCCCTCAGTGGAAACGAGCCATTATTTCTAAATTATGACTATTTTTGATCTAAAAAAAGAATCGGTTACCTAACGTAACCTCAGTTCTCTGTAGATAAGGGAATTCGGTTGAACTCGCGGCCAATGAGAACCTGACACGCTCTCATTGCGTCAAAGCCGGCCAAAACTGCGTGGCCCGAGTATATAAATAGGCGAGTTTCCCACTGTTTTCCAGTTTTCATCGAATGAAGCGAGAACACTAGTAGCGCAAGCATGGCTGGGAACGCAATACTCGTTCCCTCATCTAGAGAGAACCGAGGTTATGTTAGGTAACTGGTTCGTTCTCTTAAGAGAGGTTGTCTCGTATTGCATAAGCTAGCTTACGCTACGGGAACACATGGTCAACGCCGTGTGCGCTAAGCATCCACAATGAGTCCCGGGGGAGGGATCCCTTATAAGTGGGAATTAATAATGTACGTGAACATGAAAGGGCCAGCAAGCGGGCTAGCACGAGGGAAGAACAAGCGGCACACCGGTTGTATGAGTGTGACTCCCAATAGTGCAGCTCAAAACAGAAGAGCTGAAGCATACTAGACTGCTAGTAGTTTAGCCTGTAGGGCGGGTACTTCCAGATTGTAAAATCTGACAAAGGTGGAAGGGGAAGCCCATCCCGCTGTCACGCATATGTCTTGAATGGAAATGCCGCTGGACCATGCCCACGATGAGGCCATGCCTCTAGTGGAATGAGCCCTGATGCCCAGAGGGCATGGCAGGTTTTTAGACACATAAACAGAAGCAATAACGTCCACTATCCATCTGGGATAGTGTCTGTTTCGAGGCGGCCAGACCTTTAGTGCACCCACCGAACGAAACGAAAAGCTGCTCAGAGCATCTGAACGCGGCAGCGCGTGTAGTGTACAATCTCAGAGCCCGAACCGGACAAAGGAGATTGGCGTCACATACACTATCGGATGCGGGCAGAGCCGATAGGGAAATAACCTGAGCCCTGAATGGGGTACCAATCGCTTTGGGGACATTGCTATGTCTAGGTTTGAGGATGACTATAGAGTCATTGGGTCCAAACTCAAGACACGCTGCGCTAGAAGAGAGCGTGTGAAGGTAATGTGTGACAGGGCAATCAGAAAAACGTTTTTTAGCGAGAGGTATTTTAGGTCCACAGACTCTAATGGTTCGAGCGGGGGGGGGGGGCGGATCATAGCTTCGAGAACTATAGAAAGATCCCAAATAGGAACCGAAGGGGGGCACGGGGGTTTCATCCTTCTAGCTCCCCTGAGGAAGTGGATGACTAGCTCGTCTTTTCCCAGAGACTGAGCACACCGGGGTTCAGCGAACGCCGCGACAGCTCCCACGTAACCTTGAGAGTGGATGGGGACCTGCCCTTGTCCAGCATAGGAAGACGAGCAAAGACGACACCTCACACCGCAGAGGGTCTAGGTTTTTGTCGGTGCACCATTTTGAGAACACAGACCATTTTGACGCTTAGAGCTTCCAGTAGAAGCCGCTCTGGCGTTCAGGATCGTGTTTAACACTCCCTCTGGCAAAGCAACGGATAGTCGTTGATCACCCAAGCATGAAGCGCCCAGCGCTGAGGATGGGGATGCCAGATCGCGCCGCGAGCTTGAGAGAGGAGATCTGCTCTGACTGGAATGGGCCACGGGGCTGTCTGCGACAGCTGAGCAAGCTCCGGGAACCAGGTCTGACTCTCCCAATGCGGGGCTATGAGGAGCACCGAGTGGCGTGTTTCCCTGATCCTCTGTAAGACCTCTGGCAACAGGGAGACCGGAGGGAATGCATAAAGTGGGCGGCTGGGCCACTCCTGGGCTAGCGCGTCCTCGCTCTTTGAGAAAAATATTGGGCAGTGAGCATTCTCCTCTGACGCTAAGAGATCCACCTCTGCTCTGCCGAATATTCGCCACAGTTTCTGAACTGTTTGAATGTGCAGGGACCATTCTCCCGGAAGGATGGGGCTCCTGGACAGTCTGTCTGGGCCGTCGTTCAGAAGGCCCGGCACATGTATGGAATTAATTTTGAGCCAATAAAAATGAACGTAACTTTTCAAGAAACGAATGAAAATATAAATTGAAACTGAATAAAATATCTTTGAAACTGAAAAAGAATGAACCGCAAGCAATTTTTTTGACTTTGTTTTTAATACACTACATGTTTTGCTAACTATTCCTCATATTTCGTTTACTGATCTACACTTACAAATGCGCTTCCAGAGTTTTCATTTACGCTTCTGAAGTTTTCGTTTACACTCCCTGAGTTTGCGTTCGCTGTTCTGACACAAATCTCTCGTGGGGGCGGGGCTAGTAGAAGTGTATTCTCATTGGCTACGGAGCTTTTGATTGACAGCTTCTTGACCTGGAAGTGAAGACGTCAGAGTTGTGTTTACACGTGTGGATGTGAGCGTCTGTAAGCGCAGCTTTCTATTTAATTTTAGTAATATTAAGTTATGTTTGTTTTTTAATTTTATCTGTATTTACCTTCTGCTGCGATTACTTTGTCAACAGAAGCTTTTAGGTTCACAAGAGATCAGTCTATTCAGGTGTAATTGTACATCAAAGTACGCCCACTGTATATGACTACTTAAAATATTGTGTCCAATGTTTTAGGAGGAATATTTGTTTATTCTTGATGATTCGTTTGCATGTTAGGCTCTGAATAGGTTGTGCTATTACAATATAAAGAGAATAGCCTACTAGTATACGTGTGTGATATATTCAGCAGTCAAGAAAGTTTCACTTCAACCAGGTAATCAAGGTTGGCAACCATGGCCATCAAATTTCTCATTGTTACCATATGCATTTACACCATCAAATGATCATGTATGATCACTTAAATAAGAGGAATTTAAACTATATGAAAATTACAATCGTGGGTTGCTGTCAGATGATACAGACCTCAAAGGGCATTTCATTACATATTTCACACAAAGAATATTTTTGTTGGTATTTTTTTAATCATGCTGATAATTTTATTTATTTCATTTTGTTAATATTATTTTCTAACATTTAAAATGGTAAATATATTTGAACAATCATCAACAGGTTCAATTATGACTTATAAAATCAGTTAAATGAATTTAAATAAAAAAATCTAATAAATGTATTCATTCTTTATTGTCACTACAGCATATACACAAGTACCAAAGTGAAAGTCTTGGATGCAGTTATGACAGGAAAGACCAGAATCCACAAAACATTAACTGCATACTATACATGTAATGCACAGTATTCTCATAATATAGATAATAAAATGTATAATCACAAAGATTTTTAATGAAATAATACATCTCTGTGAGTCCACATAACACAAGTGGATTGTACCCATGTATGGCAGTTGGTCGGAAATGATTTTTAATAGTTAAAACAGTTTACATTATTAGTATTTATTTTTTTTTATTCTATTGTTTCACTTCAGTATTGATTCATCCACTGAGGTCACATGGACATCACGGTCACTGTGTGTGGTTTTTAAAGCATCTTTAGGGCTTGCAGAGATGGATTACTTTCCTTAAAATCTTAATTCGTATTTATCTGTAGAAAGAAAGTAAAATGCATCTGGGACAGCATGAGGGTGAGTAAAATAAGTGAGAATTTTATTTTTGGACGAACTATTCCATTCATATGCTGTTGGTATGCTAATCCATGATCAGCAGAGACTAATAAGAATAAACTGCAACCTCTTGTGTACTGTGTTTGTTTTAATCTAGAGCTCCAAAGAAATTAAAATATTTGCTATTTTATAATATTAAAATAAAATACAACAGGTGTCTGAAGATAAGGATCCCAGTCATTCAAAGGTGATATGTCTGAACAAAGTAACATTATTGTCTGATGGAGACAGCTGATCTCTGGTATTATCACTCCATGCTCTGTGTCAGCATCAGAATTTTGTTTGTGGAAAAGTTGCTCAAATCCCTGGAAAATGAGAAAGGAAATATATTATAATCTAACAATACAAACTGCTTTGAACTCCCACATGCAGTAACCATTTTCAGACTTAAAATAATTATTTCAAACAAATTATATAAATGTTTTAAGGGATTTTACAGTACCAAATGTTTACCTGACACCATTTATCATCTGTAATACTATTGTATAACCAGTAGATGGCTCTATAGCCCAATAAACATTTATCCATGGCTGTGTAGCGTCTACTCCCTAGTTGCTGGATTTTTTCAGTCATAATTGCTTGCATGTATTAGGTTTTGAATTGGGACATATATATATATATATATATATATATATATATATATATATATATATATATATATATATAAATTATTAAAGACTATTAAAAATTCAACATTTTTCTCCAAAATGTTGTTTTTTTTTAACATAATTATTACTAAAATATGGATACAGAAAAAGCATTTTGTTGCCTTTTGCAGAATAAATATTGCGCCCAGGGTTATACTTCAAAACAAATGAGTGTTTACATATTATGAATGGAGACGTGGAAAATGGTCAAGTACTCTCTCTCTTCTTTTAAAAACTCTGCATCACAAATTAATCAGCAATTGGCTTTACATTGCCAAAGTTGAACCGGGCAGTGATTGACAGGGCTCTGGTCCAATGGCATCGGTCATTGTCTGATACAGTACATTTTGTACTGTAGGCTACAGTACAGATACTGTACAGTACTCTAGCACAATGTTGTTTGGGGTGGCAGAGGGGAAATATGATCTAATTGAAGCAAATATGATCTAATCGAAGACTGTAACCGTATGTAACGTTAGATAAACAAGACATGTAATGATTGGGCTAACAACTTACCAATTAAATCAAGACAACACTGCTGTATAATGTTATGGGCTCTCACTGAGCTCTAATATGCCTCTCCACCTGAAAAAGCAAGAACTGTATTATAATTAGTATTAGTTTAGTATTAATTAATAAAAAAAAATAAAAACAATCAGACTTACCACGAGTAGCCTATGCTATCCAGTATTCTGATATTGACGATGACAAATTATATCATTTGTCTGTACTATTCCTTCTATAAGAAATCATATCAACAATATAGTGTAGCAGTAAATAAATAAACAAATAAACTTAATATCACCTAAATGAAATAGAAAGCTACGCTTACAGACGCTCACATCCAAACGTGTAAACACAACACTCACTGACGTCTTCACTTCCAGGTCAAGAAGCTGTCAATCAAAAACTCAGTAGCCAATGAGAATACACTTCTACTAGCCCCGCCCCCATGAGAGATTTGTGTCAGAACAGCGAACGCAAACTCAGGGAGTGTAAACGAAAACTTCAGAAGCGTAAATGAAAACTCTGGAAGCGCATTTGTAAGTGTAGATCAGTAAACGAAATATGAGGAATAGTTAGCAAAACATGTAGTGTATTAAAAACAAAGTCAAAAAAATTGCTTGCGGTTCATTCTTTTTCAGTTTCAGAGATATTTTATTCAGTTTCAATTTATATTTTCATTCGTTTCTTGAAAAGTTACGTTCATTTTTATTGGCTCAAAATTAATTCGATACACATGCAAGATGAGGTGGCTCTGGGACCAAACTATGTGTAGGGAGCTCTCTTAAACTGACCAGTGGCCAGAGGCCGGTGAGCCCTCGCAGACCGCGCCCCAACCTGAGTTGGATGCGTCTGTCGAAATGACTTTTCGGCGGTCCACATACTGTAGTAACGCCCCGTTGAAACCATTCTGCTACTGTCCATGGCTTCCGAGCCGAGATCCAGGCCTGCGTAACTTTGATCAGCTGGCGGCCCGTGGTCCACGCACAGTGAGACACACGGCTCTTTAACCAAAGCTGAAGGGGGCGCATGCGCAGTAGACCCAGCTGAAGCACTGCAGAGGCTGAGGCCATGTAACCCAGTACCTTCTGAAAAGTTTTCAGAGGCGTGAGGGTATCCATCTGAAAGGATGCGGCGAGACGCTGAACCCAGCGCGCGCTGTGTAGATAAGCGAGCCGTCATAGCCACTGAGTCTAGATCTATTCCCAGGAAGGAAATCGTCTGCCTGGACTGAAGTGAGCTCTTTGTCCAGTTGACAGAGAGGCCCAATGTGTTCAGATGGTCGAGGAGAACTGTACGATGACACAGTAACCCCATCTGTGATTGTGCCAAAATCAGCCAGTCGTCCAAATAGTTCAAAATTTGCTGCCCCTGATCCCGCAGGTGAGCGAGCGCCGTATCCATGCACTTTATGAACGTACGGGGTGCTAAGGATAGGCCGAACGGGAGGATGGTGTATTGATAACCTGGCCGTCGAAGGCGAAACGTAGAAAAGGCCTGTGATGGGGATTTATCTGGATCTGAAAATAGGCATCTTTCAGATCTAGAGAGATGAACCAGTCCCCCTGGCGTACATGCGCGAGGAGTTTCTTGACTGTAAGCATTTTGAACGGTCTCCTCATGAGCGCTTTGTTCAAAAATCTGAGATCTAGGATCGGTCTGAGGCCGCCGTCTTTCTTGGGGACAAGAAAATAACGGCTGTAAAACCCAGACTCGCTCATAGAAGGTGGAACTCTCTCTATAGCCCTTTTGCACAAAAGCTTTGCTATCTCTGAGCGAAGCGTGTTTGCTGCTTCTGAACTCACTGTAGTTTCGAGCCGCACCCGGAAGCGTGGACAGCGGCGACGGAACTGTAACAGATAGCCGTATTTTATTGTGCTTAGCACCCATGGGGAGATTCCCGGAATAGCTTTCCACGCTTAGAAGCGCTAGTGGGTGAATGGCTATATCGCCCTAATTGTTGCACCAACGCGTTCTCATCCCAAAGCGCCATATAGGACGTTAAAGGGTGCCATGTGCGTTGGATATTTACGCTTTTGCAAAAGCGTCCTATATGGCGCTTTGGGATGAGAACGGGCTCGTTGCACATAGCGGGCTGGACATAGTGTGTGGGCATGCTAGAATGTTTAAGGCAACGGGACTTACACTCAGAGAGGAGTTTATGGGCCGTGTAACAGAGCGGGCAGAGGGGGGCTCTGAGAGAGACATGGGACATGTGGTGCTTTTTTGTATGGGTGAACACAGGATTGTGGCCACATTTTTCTACACAAGAGGCTTTTATGCAGAGGAGGGACGCGTGCACGGCTCGTGGGCGCGCTTATGAACTCTGACACTCGAGCGGGCAGTGTCCGCTTTATGTGAGTGGGCTCTGACAGAGACACGGGGAGTGTGGTGCTTTTGTGTATGGGTGAACACAGGATTGTGGGCACATATTCTACACAAAAGGCGTGTGTATACATATAGCGGGCTGAACAAGTGTGTGAGCGCGCTTACAGTGCTTGTGCGTGACGGCTCGCGAACAGCCAATGGCTGTTTAGTAGGGGTGGCACGGTACATGAAAAAACACCCGAACCGTTCGGTTCGCTTGTCTCGGTTCGGAGCGTGTGTGCGTCTCACGGTTCGACGCATGCGCAATGTAACCTCGTGCCCGTATGTGACGTGTGTTTTCTTTTCGCGCGACATAAGCTTGTTCGACTTGGACCGGCGCTGCACAGAGCGACCGGTGAATAACATCACACTAGAGCGGGAACGACGGCTCCGTCACTCACTTTCGCGATATTTGATGTCATTACCGATCGCTCTGTGCAGCGCCGGTTCAAGTTAGTAAACAAGCCAGTAAAAGTGGAGTATGGAGCGCTGCAGGTCAGCACGCGGAGAAATGGCAAGTGGGAGAGATGAGGGAGTTGGAGGATGCGCCAGCGTCCTATAAGTCTATAAGTCCGGTGTGTGGGGACATTTTTGATTTCATGTTACGGTATTTTAATATAACGTTACAGTGGCACTTTATGTTTAGATAAGAGCTTCAGTCAAATGTTTCCAAATCCTGCACTTTAATTTAAACTGAAAAAAAGGTACCCTCACTTTTTGGGAATAGAAGCATTGTTGATACTGTTTTTTGTGTTGAGGTTGAACTTTTCACTTTATGTTTATGGCCTTTGCTATTTCTATAGCCTAATTATAGGCAATGAGGTTTCATGTATATTGACTTATTCATAAAAGACAGTGTAGTTCCTCTTTTTTTTCTTTTAAAAGATAGAATTTTTGTAAGAGCTACAAAAGTTGTCAGTTCATAAATGCAAGTTAATTTCTTTGTGTAAATAAGATTTGTGTGATAAAAATGCACAAGTTCTTGTAGACATAGTGATGCACATTCTCCTTTTTTTTTTTGCCAAATAAACGAAAAGCATGTCAATTTCTTCTCTCTTGCTGTGTCAAAATCTCACCTAGCTTTCCTCTGAGATAGTCCCAAAATGTGCTTAAAGTCAAAGAGTCAAATTCAGTTTGTGCATGATTGCATGAATATAATTTTTTTTATACTGTATCCTAAAGTGTGGATAATTAAGCTATATATCACATGCTGAAGTACATTTCTGAAGTGTTAAAGATTAAAAGAAAAAAATAACAAGAACCGTACAGAACCAAAAACCGTGACACTAAAACCGTGATACAAACCGAACCGTCGGTTTCGTGAACCGTTCCACCCCTACTGTTTAGTGAGTGACTTCCCGATAAATGTGAATGGGGAGCAAGTCACGGTGTGATGAGCGAGCGTGGTCACGGGTGTGGTGTTTGTGTGTAGGAGTGAACACTGAGCTGTGGGCACATATACTACACTTATAGCATGTTTGGCATAAGTCAGACATTATGCACTTATGCCTGATTGCATTTTAGCCTGATATAGGCTGCACAAGTGACGCGCGCTGTAGTGATGAGTGCTGTAAGTGGCAGAAGACTATATATAGCCTCAAAAGGCTGGACTTGTGACGCGCGAGACTGAAGAGGCTGGGATGCGCGCGACCTGGCCGTGTAATAGAGCGAGCAGAAAGAAGCTGTGAGCACAGTCGTGGGCACATTTGTTACAGACAACACTCTAGCGGCATAGCCAGCTAAGAGAGTGGGCTCTGTTAGACACGGGAATGCTGTGTCTTAATATGGGTGAGCACAGGGGTGTGGGCACCTATTACACTTGAACAGAATTCGGTCAATCCTAATCTGTCGGCGTTATTGCAGGCGTCCATGTTATGACAGGCTCGTTGCTACAATATAGACATTTTTGGCCGCTCGAACGAGGAAAGAGAAACGTTAGAGAGATGGGTGCTTAACCGACCTCGGCGGGCTAAAAACACACTCGTTTCTCATGTTGCCGCTGACGCATGTGCGCGGAAGAGCGCGGCCGCTTTCTGTAACGTAAGAAAGCTGGCCGTGAGCTCAGAGCTGCATAAAATTATCTGCAAGAGCAGGAATCGAACACGGGTCTCTGGCGCGAAAAGCTTTGGGCCCTATCTTGCACCCGGCGCAAATGACTCACTTTATACACAAACGCATGTCTCATTCCTATTTTGCATGCGCGCAAAGCGGGATTTTCCCCTCCACAGACGCACATCGGTAAACTAGGAAATGAACTTGCGCTCCCTGGGCGGATCGGCGCAAAAAAGAGGCGTGTTTCGGCGCAAACATTCCCTGGTGCTATTTTACACTTCCAGAAAACAATTGCGCCACTGACCAGAAAAAACCTGGTCTAAAGTCAGTGGCGCGTTGCCCGTTGTTCATAATGCTATTTTAAGCGTGCATGCTTGGCCATAATGTAGCGGGTACACAACGCGCCTATACTGATTCTCTCATACCAGTTATCTCATACCAGTTCTCTAACACATGCAGTAGTTTTTATTTTTGCAAATCATTCATTATAACAAGGAAAAATCTTAACACATGAGGGAAATCATTGTGGTTTACATGAAGATGAAAAAAACGAATTACCCATTTTTTAAGGCTAATTGTAGTACTGGATCAGACCTGTTTGCCCAATAGTGGCAAGAAACATACGTATAGGCTATACCCAGATAGCAAACTGACATTGAATCAACGTGGAAACAACGTCTCTCATGACATTGAAACAACGTTGATTTTGCTCATCGAATTAACGTTGAACCAACGTCAGACGCGGCATTCTTCAAAGTTAAATGAAAATCGAAAATTGGTTTGCTTTCATAACGTTGAAACAACGCGTTGTTTTCAA